CCTGCACCGTGCCAGTAACCGCGGGCAGAGCGAGAGTCAGAGATTACGTGCCGATTTCTCATTTTACTTTTCTACAAAGCAAATATTCGTCTGTATTTGTTAGATTCAGAAAAGCAGAAAAAGAGAAGAGCGCCACAATCTGTTCTTCCTACTGGGCAATTTGATGCTCCTCCGTGAGTAAAAGGTGAATGAGCATATGCGTCATTTGGGGGTTTCTTAAAGGATAATTCCACTTTATTTCCACCCGGTGTACTTCCTGTTCATGTGGATGTTTCAGCCTAATGGTTCACGCCAACTTTGCCCCCCTACTCTGGAGATTTGCAGAAATGTGAAGGCAAATAGCACATCTGACCAACAAAATGTAACATTGATAACAATATTATTATTTATGGCAATAACAATATGGCTTTTGATAAATAGAAAAATACCAACATATGAATATTAAATGTGTTTCTTAGAGGTAGGGGCTAAGGTTGTATTTGGTGAGAGAACAGAGATATAGTGGAAGGGGTTCTTGCTTCTGACCTGTTATGGCCACTCTTTGTGTTACAGGTACACTCTGATACTTTGATTACTTTAAAAAAGAAAAATAATAATGGAAAAAGACTATAAAGTGAAGTTAAAGTCAAGTAAAGTAAAATTAAATTTAGTTGCTAGAGCAGCAACAGGAAATCACAGCAGCTGAGTCAAAAAAACAGAAAATATCTCACAGGAACAAATGAAAATGGTCCTTAAAGTAAAAAAAGACTCTTATATAAGGAATATTTCAGAAGCAGAACCTCTGCAGTGTCTGCTCTGTAGTAATCGTGGTAAAGAGAAACTTGAGCACACAAGGGAGGCTTCCAATGTACTGGGCAGTTCACTCCCACAGTGATCATCTCGATGAGCTGTTAATCATGGCCAGATGAATACGCAAATACAAGCGGAAGAAGTACACTTCCCTCGACCGGTGTCTGGGCTCATCGTTAGAGACAGGGTGAGGAGTTTGGTCATTCAGGAGAGCAGAGCTAGTCCTAAATGCTGAAAGGAGCCACTGAGTGGGTTCAGGCATTTCAATAACATGTCCCCTGGATGCCTCCTAGGTGAAGTGTTTCCCACAATTACTACCAAGAGGAGACCCCAAGGTAGAGCCAGGACACGCTAGAGAGATTAAATCTCTCTGTCGGCTGGCTTGGAAACACCTTGGTATTCCCCAAAAGACCCAGAGGATGTGGCTGGAGGAGAGGAAGGCCTGGGCATCTCTGCTTAGATCACTGCCCCAAATACCAACCAACCAACCAATACTAAGGGTTGGTATATACTTCAGTTGCTTATATTCATAACACAAGACAAAAGGAAAGATAGAAATTGTTATTACATTATGATAAATAAGAAAGGTAAAAACCTTTATGAAAGAGTAAATGATACCACAGACTGGAACAAAAGCAAATAAGTAGGAAGGCAGATCATCAGAAGCAATTCAGCTGAACAACCAGACAGAGTTTTTGGGGTTTTTTTAGAAAAAACAATTATAACACTAGCAGTCTAAATTTGTCACGTTAATGTTAGAAAATGTTGTGTTTTCTTAATCACACTCACTTGTCTGTATGGAATTATTGCAATTGGTTTTTACTTGTGTTGTATTTGTTTTAATCTCAATGAAACTTTTTACCTGTATAAATAAAGGATGCACAGCCCCACATAATTATGGAATAAGCATGCCACTCTTTACATTAAAGTAGATGAGAATGAATGAAGAATTGTAATAAAATCAACGTTTGCAACATCAAAAAAATCATTTTAAAAGAAACACAAATCAAAGACACTTTGAGACAACTTCAAGATAAGGCAGGAAAACATAAAAACATCCTTAGAGGAGGTAATTAGATAGCTGGAGGACTACAGCCCTGCAGCGACTGTGAACCACAGCAGAAGAGAAATGACCACATCCCTGTAACTGTGGTACCGCTCTACTCCCTGTCCTTTCTGTAGATTAATGCTGGAAGTGTTGTGTATCAGCAAGGACATGTAGATCATCATCATGTCTAGACACTGATGCACTTTTAAAACATTTGGTCTCTTGTGAGGTTTACTAAAAGGAAGCTTTCAGATAAACTTGTGCTCACTCATCAATTTTTAAAGAGATACAGATGCAAACATTTTGAAGAGATCCTACAGTTAAGGAATCATAGCTACAGATCAGTTAGCACTATTTTTAAGCTCACAGAACACCAACAGGCCAAAAAAATAAAAAAGGAAAAAGAAAAAGGGGACAAACTTGGAGATGCATCTACGGTCATGCAAGCTCAATGCAGAAGAAACCACGCAAGACTTCAAACCACAACTCACTCACACACACACACACACACACACACACACAATTACTGTGCAACTGCAGCCTTGGCACGACCAGGCACGACCAAGCACCAGAGCATGCGGTCAATTTTAGACCAATGGGTGCAGGGCACAGACAGAGAAGCAAGACAGAGCGAAGCAGACATTAAAGGGACCATCTCCAACAATGCAGGGAGAATTCATAAAAACAAGCCATCCACACACAGGGATGCACACACACACACACACGCACACACACACACACACACACACAGACCCAAGGATGGTTTCAACAACACTTTCAATGTTGGCTGAATTTTCCCTTTGAAGTGCAACAGCTGTGGTCGTCTAATCTAAGAGCCATTTTGCTCATCAGGAGAGCAGAATAAAAGCACGACACTCTGTGAACAGCGACTATTTTGCAGCCTTCACCTGAGAGTCTTTTTACTACTGCCTGGTATCTGTAGGTTATAGATACAATACCGTCAATAGGAGTACAAAACAATCCAAGAATTTCATGTGTATACAAAGAGGCATATGTTGAACTCAAAGAAAACCAGAGAGGCTCAGTGTGCTTCACACAACAATGTGAGGAAAAAACCTTTACAATCCCCCCTCAGTCAAATGCCTTCCTGAGCACAGTGCAAGCCTCAAACTCTATGAGCTCACTTCCTGTTCACTAGCTTGCTTGACTGACTACTCTGGCAGGTCTGTCTCTGCAGAAAAAAAGCACATAGAGAAATAGGCTGAAAGGTGTATATTTATAGCAGGGGGTTATTTAAAAAAAAAAAAAGCCAAAACCCTAAATCCTTACAGACACTCTATAAGCATGAAAACCTATAAAGATGTGTTGTTTTTGCTTTAACGGCAACAGCAGAAAAGTCGAAATAGAACCTTTAGCTCTGCTATAAGAACATCAATGACGAGTGTTAAGGGCATCTACCTCTTCAAAGTCATGCAGGTCCCCCTCCATGATATTCAGAAAATACAGCAGGGGAGCGAGACCAACAAGTGTAGGAGATGAGGCCCTGTGGTTAGTGTGTGACAGAGGGAGGGTCAGGGGATACAATGTAGCCTGGGCAGAGACGTAGAGCTGCTAGTCAGAGCTAACCAGCCATGAGAAGCTGTCAGACTCGCTGTGAGGGGACTCTGGTTGAGCTTTGACAGTCACTAGAAACACAATTATGGCCCTTTCAAAAGCTCACTATGCGGGAGCAGCACTGTCCCGAAAGCCATTTTGCCGGCCTTTGGACTTTCAGTAGTGGATATTTGAAGCTTCGTGCAAGTGCCGGGGACTCAAAATCACCTTACACAACAAAACAAGTTAACGACCGTGGCTGCAGACGTACAATGTTAACTGAGAGAGAAACTTTGACACCAAAGAATGTGTCATACTTTCTCTTCCATTCAGCTGTGCACTCTGTCAGAGGTAAAAGCTCGCTGTTCGCTCACTTGCTGGAAAGAGCAGAGTCAGAGGGAGAGCTGTACCTGCGCCGGGAGAGCAAGACCTCGTTGAGGAAAAAAAAAAAAAAAAGGTAATGTCAGTACAAAGGAGTACAAGTTTCTCTGAAGCTTTTTCTGAGAGAGAGAGCGAGAGAAGAAGAAAAAAAAAGTTGCTAAATGCAGAGAGAAGGTGGCGGTACAACTGCCATTTGAGTTCTCAGTAAAGATGGAAAAGTGGTGTATAAATACAAATCCATTTACACCGCTGTCCCCATGCTGGGACATTAAGCGGTGTGCAACTGTCTTATTGATCAGCAGCTTAGAGGCACATCGCAGCTCTCTGCACCTGAACTGTCGACTTTATCGTTTCCAAAATGGAATGAAAAAGCAGGTTCAATTCAGGTGGCATCTTTAAAAAAAAAAACAATCACATTGGAGTTGCTGGTTTTTAAGTGGACAGTGACCATTTGCAGATTAAATGCTCCTCAGCTAAACCCCCACCCACCGAGCAGACTGATTAGGGCTGCGTGGTGCTAAAGAAGCTAACGCGCATCTCTGCAAAGCACTGATGTTTGTGGTTTTATCCTCTCAGTGAGGGGTCACATGGGGGGCTGGGGGGGTTAAGATATCCTAGCATCAGTCAGCAGGGGATCCGCCATTACTCCCACTGATCACTTAAGTATTTACTCAGCTGAAGCCCACCACTTCACAGACGGTCCAGAGGAGAGTATAAATTAGATGAATACATGCAGAAACGCCACACAAGTGAAAATGTGTGATGATGAAAGACAGATGAAGGATTAAATCATACTGAACACAATTAGCAATCATGCAGTTTTTTTTAAAGCCAACCTGTTTGAATGATTGCCTGTTTTCTTAGATTGGAAAATAAGAATCTGAATTCTGGCCTGTTGGTTGGACAAAACCAAACATTTTACTACATTATGTCAGAATTTGGAAAATTGTGACGGGCATTTTTTATTCTTGCATGATCAATCAAAATAGGTCATGTGTAAGCTCAAAGCAGATAATAAACCGAGGTCTCACTATGAACGCGGGACCTTCTGCTTCACATCTTACTCTGCTCTTCTGACCAGTGAGCATAGTGTTTGCATTGGTATATTTTGGCTTGTTGGATTTTCCCTGCCTTACAAGAAACCATAGCAAAGTTTACAAAATCACCTACAGATTTAGAGCAGAGCAAACAAATTAGAGGTCTGAAAGTGCACTTAAAGCAAATTTACCTGACCAGCATTCCTTCCCTGGTGATTTATACCCAACCGCAAAATAAAAGCATTCACACTCAAGCCCACTTTCAAGTCAACCTGAAGACAGCAACAAAAATCAACAAATCTACACCTTAGGAGACGGCTGTGGACTTTGAGGACCTCTAAGTAGGCTTGATAGCTGCCCTGCGATTTGCCTGTCTTAGTATTAAGACCACAGATTAGCAGTCAGTGCCTGCTCCTAGCTGTAATCAGAGCGCTGATCTACTATAATCGCTTATCCATAGTAAGAAAGCGCACTGGTTTGGGGTGCAGCTCAGATAAGACCTGTTCAGCACCAAGCGGCTGAGAAACAGATTTCCAATTTATACAAAGAAACAAGTTTTATTTCACGCTTCTGCTGACCCGCTTTGATGCCCCGTTTCACTGCAGGCCCTATTTAAGTATCAAGCGAGGCCAGTGTTTCAGCGTCCCTCCAGGGCTGTTTCTGTTTCAATATTTTATGAGCAACAGTCAAATCACCGTGTTGGAATAATTAAACATCAGTTAGGGCACAAAGCTGCAGAGAATATATGGAGGCAGCTCTTCAGTGAGGAGGGAGTAGTGAAGCATAGCAATGGGGCTCCTTAGAGATCAGAGACGACTCACTCAGACACTCACAGGAATATAATTTTGCCATTACTCTGTATAACTGCTGTTGGTAATGTGGACGAGTGCCATGTTAATGTGCCTGTGTGGGTTTGTGTGTGAGCTAAACAATAACGGCAGGCAGACGTCGCAATATTACGCTTGAATGTGGCATCTGTTACCGCGCATAACTTCAGAGAGAGAAATTCATTATCAGCACAGTTTCGATTTCGATCTAATCCAACATAGAGGCAGTTTGCAGTTACAGTACATTTACAAGGCTTCAACATTTCTGGGGATTTCACTGTATTTTTCAGTTTATTTTTATCCCTAATAGTTGTCAGTTGCTTGTTTTTCACAGCTAAAGTTGAACTTTTACACTAAAATCAGTTCACAGCCACATCTTACATGTTTCAAAGATATAGACTTTACATCTTAGCGCTTCGCTTAAAGTTCAACCAGTTTAACCTTTGACCTTGTTAATGTGTGACCTATTAATCAGCAGCTGATGGGATGACAGTCGCTGTTACCTGAAATAACAACAGCTGGGGGTTGAGTTTATCTGTTCGATTGATTATCGGCATTATTACTCAAAACAGTATGGCCAAATTTGCATTAAAGGCACAGCTTGCCCCCAATTTAGAAGTGATAAACTTTTGGAGTCGCCTCATATATTCACAAATACAAACTTTTTTCTTCATGAAAATTTTGCAAACTAATCTGGATCCAGATATCCTTTCGAATCCAGCAACAAAACTTTGCAGAGGAATGCCGTCTAACTGCTCTTTATTTCTGATCCCTCCTGGGGCCTCCCTGCTACCTGTCACACAAGGGTTGCACCCTCAAGTTTATTATATTTCTATCTGCATCGCAGAGTGAGCTCAGCTGGTACAGTTGACCTCTGGTAGTCAGTGGTTATCTAGTTAAGCACCAACTTGCACAGTATATTTAGCAGCAGCACAATCCAGACTCCTGTTTGTGATGCACACCTGCAGGAGTCCAAGATTTGGGTGTTGATGTTTCACGTGTACAGACACGCTTCGTCGCTCTTGTGTTGTCACATGCATGTACAGCAGACATGCACGCAGTACAGCAGAGTGAACCGTCACTCCCCAACATGAGCCAACAGCCAGTGCAGATGCTGAGAGGAACAGCAGGCGGAAAGTGTTCAGGATGTCTCCACACATCAAAGATTTAAAGGTAACACAGCCAGGCAAGAAGCCCACCTGTCTTAGCAACGGGTACACCTGGCACAAAACGAGATGAACGCTGATGATGATGTTTGGTGCACATCTCTGGAAGCAGCACATTAGGACACTACTGATGTCATCACAGCACTGGGAGGGTCAAACAGATGTTTAATGTGGCCTGATGTGCATTGTAGCCAGCACAGAACGGGTTGTGGTCATGAAATAAAAATAGCAGCCATTTTCAAACGTTTTAGTCACTTATGTTAGAAAAAAAAAAAGCCAACATATTTGCCAGTTAAAGCTGCTTACATGAGAATTTCAAGCTCTTTTCTGTTTGAGGTCATTGTGAAGTGAATCTCTTTAGACTGTTGGACTGTTGGATGAATTTAGGGATTTGGGGGTGTGGGTGGGTGTATTATGACATGATAAAGGCAGTATTTAGGGGAGTATAAGCTAATGTTTATACCCTGGTTGAATATATTTGACCAAATCCTTTAATGGATAAAGTGATTATTAAACAAATCAGCAATGAAAAGTACTGTTAGTGATTTTAAGTCGCCATATTTTGAGACTTTGAGCCAGGAATGTTGGCTGATTTTGGCATTTGCTGGTTATTCTGCAGGATTTTGCACTGCTGATGGACAAAAAGGGGCAGTTTGCACATTTAATATAACATTTAGGGTCATTTTTAAGTACATCTTTATTATACTCATACATATAAGGGTTACATATTAGACTAATCATTTCAAATCACATAAAGGGGAGGAATAAGTGAGCATGCTACAGTAACAATAAAGCGGAAACTGTATGAGTGCACATACGAAAATGTCCTATATAAAAGTTAAGACGAAGACTCTGCTCGTCGGCACGTAAAGCCTGAATATCGGTCCGTTCAGCCTGGATTGTGGGAGTCTCAAACTCACAAAGTAAATACAAAATAAACATCTGCAGCTTCGCCCGCTGCAAACAGTCCCGGTGTCCCAGCAGCAGCCAGCCAGCACTCCCGGACTAAAGGAGGGGGAAGACCCATGTGTGTCACCGCAGCGCTGTTATACCAACATCCATGAAGAGATGTTAAAGCCGCTCAACCCGTGTTGTTGTGTTTACTGGCGCCAGCAGCGGAAACGACGCTTTTCACCGGTTTAATTACAGCTCAGTAAGGCGTCTGGTGACCCGCTAAAGGCGGTAAAGTGCGCTAGCTCGGAGTGCTCCAACAGTAGCCGGACATGCCTCTCCTCCTGCCTGTCTACTGCCCCCTTTTCCTCCACGGGGGAAAAAAAATTCCCTTCTTCCATCTTCTGGTTTAGTCTCAAGCGGTCCACGGCAAACACACCCGAAATTAGAAAGAGAGCTGGCAACATGTGTGGATGTTTGCACTCACCTCAGTCCGGGGTGTTCACACTGAGCAGAGGGTCCACTGTGGTATCCAGGAGGTTTAAAGTTGTCCCGTTAGTAAAGAGACAGCAGCTGGTGTGAGGAGCTCAGAGTGTGTGTGTCTCTGTTTGTGTGTGTGTGAGTCTGCAGAGTCCCTCTCTCTCTCTCTGTGCTTCAACACCAAGTCACTCCTTGAGGGCGGCGCTAAGAAGGAGGCGGAGACTGATGGAGCCACGGTGGATGGCAGTGGTGCACGGAGTGGTGGCCCGCGGAGGCACCCTTTCACATACATTACGGGTTTTCTCCATTGCTTTGGTGCAATGTGTGAATGTGTGTGTGAATGGGTGGATGACTGGATATGTAAAGCGCTTTGGGGTCCTTAGGGACTAGTAAGGCGCTGTATAAATACAGGCCATTTACCATTTTTACCATTGCTTTGGTGCAAATGTCACTGCAGGACCAGTTAAAGGGTTTTTCACATGTGTGCAACTATGCAAGGGCAGTCAATCAGGGGCGTTTTCAGGATTTTCTAAATGGGGTGGCACAGGAGGGGACCATGAAGACAGCGGAAAGGGGGGGGGGGAAGGGCGCATGAAACCAAAATTTGATAAGTGTAGATAACTGCTGTTAAAACCACAAATTCTCAAGATCTTCCACAGCCCAGCGTCCTATAGCAGATTTATTATGTGAAAAGTGGAGCTGTAAAAGAATTTAAACATAACCTTGTGATGAACAGTTTTATAAATAATAGATTTGTTTACTTCTTTAAAGGTTATAATCCTATTTAAATAGCTTAATAGTTCACAGATTGTATATTCAAATATATTTAAAGTACATAAAGTAAATGTATACATGTGAAAGTCAACTTTAGGATCCTATACATCAGCGGTCACCAACCTTTTTTGCGCCTTTGTCGGTCCGACAATATTTTCACGGACTGGCCTTTAAGGTGTCGCGGATAAATATAACAAAATAAGACCAGTACCGGTACCAAAAAAAGAAGATTTATTCATAAGACACGGGAAAAGACCCAGGGAAACCGAGTTAACGATAAAAACAATTTTAAAAAATAACGCTAAAAACAAATAAAAACCCTGAAAAACACAAATTTCACACCCGAGCCTCAACTCTCACAACCCGGTACCAAACGACTCGGGGGTTGGGGACCGCTGCTATACACGATATTAGTAAGTTATAATTATTGAATTGCTGAGATATATATATGTTTGTAATGTTCATGACCTTAAATATTTGCAGTATTTGTAGACCTTAAATATTTGGATCAAGTTTCTAAGTAACTTGGTCCATAATAATGCAATCCAGAAATAATAAGTAACTAAAGCTTTAAAAATAAATAGTATAGAGTACAAAGTGAAGTAATTGTATTCAGAACACAGTGGAGAAAAATCAGATAGCAGTGTAGTACTACTTCAAGTACTTGATTGAATGTACTCAGCTACATTCCTACTCATCCAATCAGTGCTTTCATCCAATGGTGTTGTTGGGCATTGTAAGATTAACGGTACTCTAGTGCAACAGTTTTGGTGGGGAGGCACGAGGAGGGGACCAATCATATTTCTAAGGGGAAGTGATACCACCCCTTGTCCCTTCCTAGACACACCCCTGCAGTTAATCAATCCAAATCTGTGATCAGTAAATAAAAACTAAGACCATTATTTCAAGATTTAGACACCAAATGGTTTTATAGTTTTATGAAAAACATTACTTGCTTTGGAAAGAGTACTGCAAAAATGTGGGACTAATGTAGAATAAAAAGGGTTCAGATGCAAAAATGAAATGTGAAGGATTTTTTTTAAAACTGCTGAAAGTGAGAAAAGCAGAATGATCATGATGAAACTATATATATATAGATAGATAGATAGATAGATAGATAGATAGATAGATAGATAGATAGATAGATAGATAGATAGATAGATAGATAGATAGATAGATAGATAGATAGATCACTCTTTTCCAGGCAAATGTAGAGTGCACAGTAGGTGTATAGCACGTTAATGCAAATATCTAACCAGCCAATCAAATTTCAGGAACCCAGTGCATCTAGGCATGTAGACATGGTCAAGATGACCTACTGAATGGACTCAAAGGCAGAGCTCACAAAGGCAGACTGAAGTTTTTATTTACAGGTAGATCAGTATAGTGAAAATGCACAGAGTGGTGTGGGGGATATCCAGGAAGGGGAAGGCTCCAAGGGGACTCAGGGGTGTCCACACAGGAGGGAGTCCAACTTGCAAACCAAGCCAGCAGCCATTCCACACAATCCAGATCAATGTTCCAGTGATGATTGGCCGTCTACCCACGCCTTAAGTAGGAGCCCCTAATTGCTCATCTTCCACATGTGGGGAACCAGCCACAGGTGAGTTGGGTGGAAACTCAACAGGAGCCCTGTCTATGGACAATCTTGAACACAAAGCACAGAGAGAGACACACACACACACAGAGAAACAGAGAATGCACTGGGGTGCCCGGGTCCTGACATGTTGAATTATGTCATGTTTTAGATTTGTTTGATCGCCCTATCCTAGTGATGAATTATATTTTCTTTAATTACCTGTTTTTCCTTTTTCTCCCTTTTGTCTTTTTGTCACGCCAGAATTTCTATACCTTATTTATTGTTTCACTTTGATCTCTAAAATGTTTCATTTATTGTTTGTTTCTGATCTTGTCCTGTGAAGCATCATCATTATTATTATTATTATTATTATTATTATTATTATTATTATTATTATTATTATTATACCCAATAAACCCACCGCACACTAAGACAGTTGACTACAGTTTTCAAGTGAGATCACTGAATTAGAGTTTTTTAACAGTCTGTGTTGTTGGGTGTCAAGATTAGTCATGAAACTATTCAACTTTACACATGTGGTTCTATAAAAATGGGACAGTCTTCATACAGGAAGTTGCAAGCGTGACGTCAATGATGTGTTAGTAACAGCTGGAAACTGTAGACTGTTGTGAGTTCCGTTTATGTAAATGCTGACAGGCAACAATTTAATCACAACACAAGTGTATTCAAAGGTGGATTCCGAAGAACTAAATCTTTCACAAGCCAAGCTGCTGTGATAATTCATGTAAAATATGCTTTTATTTATTTATTTTTTACTTCTTTCTTTAAGGGCCATTCTTAGATTGGAGATGTGTTTAATCACATAAATGGACACAAAACATATATCTACATACAGATAATCAGTAGTATTCATCTTCATATACTGAATATTTATTTGGTGGGTGGCTGACAGACAGACAGACCAACTGAACTGAATTGAACTATATTGCTTCCTGTTCACAATAGCAGGTGGCACGATGGTCCCCGCAGAGCTCAAAATTGGACACATTTAAAGTGCTAGTAGCTTAAATTATCTCATGATTTGATGTGACGTAAAACAATGTAACACCCTGCAGTTTGACGCAGCCCTCTGGTTGCCTGTTGATTCAAACGTCTCACACACACATATACCTAACAGGTTTTTGTTTTTTGTTTTAATTTTTTTAATGAGACCAGAGACGTTTTTTACCACACAATTTCATGCGTTGATTTAGGCCTTTAGAAAAGGCTTCTAATGAGTGTCCCAGATTTCAGCCTGAGCTTTCCCACATTAAGAACTGTGCACCATCTTTTAGCACTATGGCTGCAATTTCTTCTCTGTGTGTCTGCACATCTGCTTTTTCAGATATGATTAGAGAAAAACCTCAAAGATTTCAGAATGGTCTTGGGTGCAGATTATGTTATAGGCTATTTACTTTTCTCTATGACATTAAATCACTACATTTAGAGGTACGCATAAAATTATGTTATCTATATTCTTGGATTCACTCATTTGCACTACTTTTGCAGCCTGTAAACCTGAAATAACTACATGAAAGCTACTTTTGGTGGCTTTGCTCCCTTATTCACAGGAGTCACCACAGCGAGTATCATACCATACAACTATAATTATAAAGCACTTTAAAACAGCCACAGGAATACCCTTTTTTCTGTACAAAGAAAGGGAATAAATACATTGAAAATGATAAAAAAAATAAAATAAAAACAACACTGATAGAAAGAACTACAATATAAAAATAACAAGTAAGATCAGTGCCTGATTTTGGATCAAAAGCCTAAGAGTATAAGTGCATTTTAAGATGAGTTTTAAAAATGGACATTGTAGACCGATGTCTAACATTTAAACAAAATTAATCCACAACTTAGGGACAACCATGGAGAATGCTCTGTGGTTTTTGTATATGTAGGAGCAACTGGTCAGACGTCCTGAGAGCTCAGACAGTTCAATTCAGTTGAATGCAATTCTATTTATATAAAACCAAATCACAACAACAGTCGCCTGAAGCAGCTTTACCCAATAAGAGTGTAGGGGTAACGCAGTAGAGAGGTAAGCCTTTTCAGCGCTGCATTACCCTTCCTACCCTTCCTCATGTAACCCCAGAGAGATTTGTATTTCTTCCTGGGATTAAACTGAGGATGTTTCATTTATTAGGTGAATGTGTAAACCACTACTGGTCTTTATCTTTATTGCAGTCAAAAAATTTGACCAATAAAGCTGTTTCTAATTCTAGCTTTTCCCCCCCTACACATCAGCCTTGTTGCTCTAATAACACTAACGTTTGTTTTCCAGCTACGTTTAATTTAAATTTAAACCTTTTATCCCAATGAGAGAATATTTATTGTAAGCTTTACATTACATTTATTAATTGCCAGTATTCTTACTCATCTTAAGGCTCAGGAGTTGTCAGTAACAGTCTGAAGCTGAATAGGAAATTGACTTTGTCTTCGCCACCTCGTCTCTCTACTCAAAAAGTCAACCTTGGATCAGATGTGATGCATATGAAAAAGGAAACGAGCCACTGTGATTCCTGTATCACTCTTTTTATTTCTGTATCTTCGATTCTTGCACATATCTTTTCTCTCTCCTCTGTCTCATATCTATCTCTGGTTATACACCTCAAACAATCTCTCGCAGACTGAAGTGGGTT